GAGAGAGAGAGAGAGAGAGAGAGAGAGAGAGAGAGAGAGAGAGAGAGAGAGAGAGAGAGAGAGAGAGAGAAGGTAAGTCTCCGAACTCGCGCCTTACGTCGGGGTGCTCCCGTCGATAGGACGGGCAAAATTGATCGCCATGATGAGCAAAATCGAACAAGTTCCCATCTTTAAGTGGGGTATAGATGCAATTGCAAGGAAAATGATCAATAGCGAGATGACAGAATCCAGATTACACGATCACATTGAAAGCCAGAAAGTCTCACAGTGCTCAAAAAGCAGCATTGGACCAATGTTACATCAATGGAGAATCAAAACACTGAAACCGAATGTCAATGAGAGCTTATTCTCGTCATCACCAACATAAGAGTCCAGGCCCTTCCCACTACTTGGCGCTCGGCGCCCAGACTACTTCCCAGACAGCTACTATCTGCCTATGAATTGACAATGGAACTGTTGACCATCCCCAATACAGAAGATTTTGCCACTGAAGTACATGAAGATTTTGCCCAATGCAGACCATCCCCAATACCATGTATGAGCCCTCACATCATCATCCTCATCTCTATCTCTCTCTTTTCCTCGTCTTTCTCCCTTGTCTTCCCTCTGTACACCCGAAGACCACCAATGCGCCTTGCTGTTTGTCAAAGCCCAGCCAACTATGGAAGCTGAGCTATGGCCCTGCCCTCAACAACGCCCTCCTTCCCACATGACCACACGTGCACAGCACCTTGCCCCAACGCTAGTAGCAGCCCACGAGCGCCCGCTCCAGCAGCACTGCCACAAACTGGGAAGTTCACGAATGCCCCGCCAGGCAGCGAGCTCTTTCCTATATGGAAAGAGTCTGGCCTGGCCTGCGGCCTGGCTGGGCTGAGCCTGCGCCCAGAAGCTTCCCGTAGGCCCAGGTAGCTGGGCCTCTGTAGCCGCTGCTGGGCCTCGTTCGGTTGCACCTCTCAACTGTTTGTGTATATTGTTGCGAATGTGGCCCAGGGCCTGCCTTTCAGAAAAGTCCTTTAAGACCGTGGAAAGTCTTTGCTGCTCGGGACCTGGGTTCACTCAACCAACTGGCGCGACACAACTGCTTGAACCCCAAATACGAAATTGACAGCATTGGGCCTCTCGTGTTTCGTTAGGCCCACCTTCACTTAGGGCGGGCACACTTGTATAAGGGGCCCCTTTGGCCTGCCGAGGAGCCGAATCCTCACATTCCCTCCTCCTTTACTTYGATAGTCCCYTGAGAAGTCCTTTAATSCGCAGACAACTTTCCCTTGAGTCCTCTTTCATAGCCTGCAATCATTTGGGGAGCTGTTTGCTGGAGTTCTGGTTTGGTAAACGACCGGTYTTCACTGGGATCATTATGGTGTTTGAATCTGACACGGTACTGCATCCTTGGCTTTGGAGGTCGGCCTCTGTCGGGAGGTTTAGGCACAAGCATCACTCT